ATTAAGAATATGATGTATACATGTTTTTTGCTTTTTGTTTTTTTTAATTAAGCAGCTACTTCGAGAGAACAGTCTCAAGTAGCATCGTCCACTGGGGAGTGTTTGGACTTTTTGTGGTTTTTAGGACCCCGGTGGACCATAATTGCTAGTTCAACTCTGTTTCAGTATATATCTTGTATATTTATACTCTGCAACACTTTGTCTTTAAAAAAAATGATTCCATTATATGTATATGCACTATAAAAAAAATGTTATAATCGAAAAAACGTCGGATTTACTCTTTATTTTGTAATAACTTGGCATAAATATGTAAACAATTGATGTATTTAACAACATATAGATTTTCATGTTTCTCTATCATTATTTTTGTTTATGTATTGTTGTTATTTATAAAAAATACTGAATAAAATCTTATTACAAAAAAAAAAAATCAATGTAAATCATACATGTACATGTAATTCTTCACCACAAACATTTATGTTCTCTATCTTTGAATTGTGTATGGTTCGTCTTCAGCGAAATGGTTGTAAAAAGCTTTGTAAAATATTTTGAGTCAAAGTTTGTTTGTTTTACTTACTATATATATGTTTATATGTAAAGTTCTCATATTTACTTTTTCCTAGAGAAATACTAGTACTGATATTAACAGAAAACTGTTTAGTTTAAAAAGACTAATTAATATTCAATGCAGAATATTTGTATAATCAATAATCGTGAAATTCATAATAAATTATATTCTCGAAATGCTGCAAATATTTAATTCTTCATATTTGAAATAAGTGTCGGATTCTTTTAACCTAAATGAAGTCATCATAGTATTAGTCCAATAGTTGTTATGAAATATATGGACATAAAAAAACAGCATCGCATTTAAAAAAAAAAGCATTAAGAATAAACTTTTCCTTTATGATGAAGAGTGTTACTAATGTTCACAGAATCATTATTTATATTGTCAAATTAAAGCTTAGAATTCTATACAAATCATTTGATTCCATGATTGAATCACCGCATTAACAACATTGAAAAAAATACCGTTATACAAGAGGCGACGGGAAATCGGTGCTCCAATTGTGTTGCATGAATGGGAAACTAAAAATGTGTACTTAATGAATACTTTTCCTCAGTTACTTTATATCAAGGACAACGATGGCGAAAATGCGTTATGTGATGCATCGTGGGTTGGGAACATTGAATTATTCTTTAAATCTATGTTGGGAAAAGGTATTAAAGTTGAAATCACCAGAAATGACGTGAAAACTGTGCTACATCTTTGTTGTATGAACGGGAAATTGGATATTTGTAAATACCTAGTAAATCTTTTCTTCATTTATTAAATGTTAAAAAAAACTCAACTTACAGCATCAAATATTGCTTATAAGTATCAAATCAAATGTGTATAATAATTTTTAGAGAACGCCGTTTCTGAACCCCGAACAGGTCCAGTCCAAAGACTATTTCTACCTACGTAGCTATTAATAGCTACCTAGGTATTTAAAGCTACCAAAAGTAGCTATTTTTACCTACTTTATATAATTTCTGCATTTTGCGACCAAAAGACCAAACGGCGCAACGTGGTGAATACCATATTTTTTGATACGGTCACACTAATGATGAATACGACAAAATCTTGGCCAAAAAATGATTACTTCCTGAATAAGCAAATTTACATTAGTTTCTATGCAAAATTGATAATATACAAAGTTTTCATTTTTTGGCCAAATTTTTGTCATATTCATCATCAGTGTGACTGTATAAAGAAATTTTGTGCTCACCATGTTGCGCCGTTCCTGCATTTGGCCACAAAATGCAAGTAAAGCAGAAAGTAGGTAAAAATAGCTACTTTGTGTAGCTTTAAATACCTAGGTAGCTATTAATACCTACGTAGGTAGAAATAGTCTTTGGACTGGACCTGCCGAAGGAGCCAAAAACGAACGGAAATGCATCTGTAGATAATGCATGCAAATAAAATGTTTATCTATTATTTTTGTTTTTTTTTTTACTTAGGAAGGAATAGCTGAAAAACAACTGATATTTATGATGTGAAGAAACTTGAAATCTAACCATACTTGTGATTTTCAGTTCATGAGAATTTATTTTTGTATCTTTCCAAATCAAGTTTTATGTAGAAACTGGTAGATTTTGTAATCCTGTCATTCTTAGAGAAAATAGATATTTGTTATAAAACTATTGTTCAAAATGAAAAACCATGTTTACTTGATTTTCAAATGAATGAAGATTTAATGTTACTAGATGTTAATACACTATCTTGTTTGCTTAATCCATATAACTTTGAATGAAACAAAACAATCCTGGCAGTAGCAATATGTGTCTTTACATCAGAGACTGTTAGTCTTATTAGAAACAAGCTTACTACAGTTAAATATTTTGTAATATATGGCTAACAACACATTCGCATTTATGTATATGCATTGTGCTTAAGTGTCAGTAAAGAATTTAAATGAATATATTTTCTTTGTTCCCTTCTTGACTGAAACATATGGAGATAACGAATAGCATCCAAGATCAAAGGTCCATAAAACAATACAAAATAATAGAAGCAGAGCAAACACTGACATTAAAACATCGCATGTGGGATCAGGTGCCATGGAGGAGTGAGCAATCCCTGCTGACCGGTCCCTCAGAAAACTTCTAAGTAAAATGACTTATCTTTTCAAAGCAGAATATTTGTATTATCAATAATCGTGAAATTCATGATAAATGATATTCTGGTAAAATTGCATATATTTCATTCTTTATATTTAAAATAAGTGTCGGATTCTGTTAATCAGAATGAAGTCATCAAAGCCTTTGAAACACTTGTGTGTAACCTTATAAGTCCAATTTTTGTTATGAAAGAAGGATATGGAGATAACGAACAATAATCAATCTCAAAGTCCATAAAGCAATACAAATCAGAATCAGAGCAAACACGGACCTCCAAAACATCAGTGGTGGGATCAGGTGCCATGGAGGAGCGAGCATCCCCTGTCGACCGGTCACACGCGCCGTGTGCTCTTTGTCATGATCGGGAAATAATGGAAAAAATCTGCCCTCAATTCAGTGTATAAATAATGGACTAACAATTAGTATGAAAACCGTCAGTCAGCATTTGACACAATGATAAATTGTATATAAAGACATAAGGAACAGTATTGCATTGAAAATGTACAAGAGTAAAATTTTCCTTTATGATGATGAATGTTACTAATGTTCACAGAATAATTATTTATATTGTCAAATTAAAGCGTAGATTATTGTTTTACAAATCATTTGATTCCATGATTTAGTCACCACATCAATAATAGAGATTGAGTAAATAACCATTATATAATTTTGACATCTTGACTGTGCTTATTTTATTTGTTTCATTTCACTTGTACACAAACATGTATCAGTATTTGTCCCGCTGCCATTTTAAAGAAAATCTGATAATGAAATCAATACAGCCTACAAAGAGGGTTCAAGTTCGCAAAAAAAAAATTATTGGCCCAACCAACGAATTTTAATGCTAACAGAAAAGATCTTTACAGGTATTTAAATGTATTTTTAGTAAACCAGTTCCGTCATAATATTGCTCCTCCATGGACATTTATAGTTCTAAAACAAATTGAAATCTGTAAGTACGTATTTCTTTTTTTTATTTCATATTCTTAAAACATGTTAAAAGTGTTCACAGAAACAACGAAAGTAAATATGTTTATGTTTTTTTTTTTCTATTTATCATATCTTTAAAACATGTAAACAAGTGATAATGAGTATCTTCCAGCTACACACAAATTGCTTGTAAATCGTATCAGACAGAAGTCACAGTTTATTTCTTTCAAGTCTCACATTTTCTGGAAAAGGATTTTGTTCTGTTATAAATACATTGAAAACGGAATACGTCCTGTGTGATATTGATCAAATTATAGCATATTCTGTTTATCCTAGCATGCGTGTTGCAACTTGTCCAACGGTGTCAGGAAAAAAATTGACTGGAAAACGAAATTTGCTTTCAACTTGCAACTGTTTTTGTTTCTTTTCGTGTAACGACAAGATGGATTTTGGGATATTTTTTATGTTTGTAAATGTGTATGTTTAGGTATTTGTATATATTAATATAAGTGCTGGGAAAAAGGCTGAGACACCTATGCGACAGGACTGCATAAAGACATTTAAAGTTCTTTTAAAGCTCCATTTAAAAATCACATAAGATCTATTCTCAGTAGGTCTGTTTTGCACCAAGATACATGTACCCCATAACTGCTTGATTATGAGATTTCTCTCGGTGTTTTAAATGTACACTAGCTAAATGACAAGGGTATCTACATAAACGATTGATAATCATAACCCTTGACGGTTTTTAATAGGTAGAATGAGCTTCGGAACACCTGATTTTAAATATTCTTGTGGGTCCTTTACGTCACTACCATTCATATTTTGATCGAACTGAACAACGAGACCAAACATTTGCAAGGGGTTTTTTTTCGAAAAGCTTTATAAAGATTCTGAAAACTTCCACAAGCACTTTTCATGTAGATCACGTAGATTTTTTAAGACAGTATTAAGTTTGGTAGTACTATTCCTGACCATCAGGCCATAGGAGCGGTGAGGGCATAGTATTCACAATTTTCGTTTAATATCACCTGTGGATGATATATACCCAAAAGATTTTGAAATTAGCAAGTTCAGCTGTTAAAATCAGAGAAAAATCTGAAAATATTCGAATATTGAAGATGAAGAATAGTGACGCACAAAACGTGCAATAGGTTATTTGAGTGATTCAAATGACCTAAAAAGATACAAAAAAAGTTTTGAAATAAAAATTGATTATGTCAATCAAGCTTCTTTACACTAACTTGCATTTCAAATGACATTTGTCAGTGCAATCGATCGTATTATGAATGAATTGGCAAAAAACATTTAAGTAAGAAAGAATGAAATGTTTAATATTCAATCGCTTTAATTATTTATAATAAAAATTAGATTTTATTGTTCAATATTTCTTTTTCTAGATCAAACTCAATGAAATGGTATAGAATATATGTAAAACAAGATCATGTCTTGTTCAAAGTACGCCTCTACACCACAAACAACAAACCTAGCACGGGTCTCCCGCCTGATACTGGGACCATGTGCTGACGTCATGAGGGACGTGCTTCTCAGGGAGATACCAGCAACTGACCTGTCTAAAAAAGTACAAAAGTGGATAAATTCTCAAAAGAGACACCTACTCAATACATCTCAAACTGATTTGATTTTCCCACAACCGTCAAATATCTATGGTGGAAACTATTCCGATATGGATATATCCTTACTATATATTCTCTTACGTAATGTGACTTACCTACCTGCACACAGTAAAGGTTGGGATAATGATCCTGACCCTACAGACAGAAGTGTATCGGCAAATATAGAGCGTATAAGGTTCATCAGAAACAAACACTACGGACATGCTGTTGAAATTGGCATACCTGATACCGATTTCCAGAGTGAGTTTATGAACATTCGCAAGATTGCGGAAGATGTTGATGTTTATTTGGGCGTTTCAAAACATCAGAAATCGGTAGACTTTATCAAAACAGACAAGATGGACCCGGAACAGGAAATGGAATGGATAAAACACCTTACAATATTAGGTAAGACTACTGGTATATACATTTAAGGAATACGCTTATTTCAACTTTTATTATACGCGAAGCGGTTAATAAAAAGTATAAACTGTTATGTTATATCGTTTTACATAAGTTGAAATTAATAAGCTTCATTCCTTATAATTTAATTTCAGTGTAGCCAATGAGAAATTAGTTTACTCTAGGAAAAGGCTTTAATGACGCTCTTTTTAACACTGTACAAAAGAGCTATATTTATTGGGTTTTATTGGGTAATTTATGCAGTTAGAGTGATCTGCTCTTAGCTGTAAGATTATAGTAGTTGTTATTTACCATTAATTACATAATTTATGAGATAAAAAGTCTTAATATGTATATATTTCTCTGAGACCAAAAAAAAGTTTCTGTTAGTGTTTAGAGCTTCCTTGAATTAAGAATATTTAAAAAAGTAACGTAACGCTGAGTAATACCTTTTTGACCTAAATCATAGTGACATAGGCAAGTTATGTTAAACAAAATTGATTAAATCTTTTACCCAATCAAATTACTAGTACATGTTGCGACTAAAATTAAATTATTTTGATTCCAAATAAAGTCTATCTCTTTCATTGCATGCAATCAGGTAAAAGACAACAAAGAATATATGATTGGTTCTTAGAACTATATGCATCCTAAATATCGTTGGAGTTTTATTATATGCTTTCATAGGAAATTTCCGCCTAATTAAGGCATGACTTACTTTTTTGAGAAGAATAACTTGAATTAAGATTAATATCATAAATTGATCTCCTTCTTATAAAAAAGAAACGTTTTTAGAGTATGTAAGTATTTTTTTTTTCATAATGTGAAACGTATAGTATCTCCATTTGTTTTACATCCAAATGGATATCATAATAATAATGAAATATTGAGGGAGATCTAATTTTGTGATCATGTCCATACATGAAAATCGTCTGGATATGTGAAATCTTACTATAACATATCTGTAACACACTAAAATAGATAATATATGAAAAGCAGAAAAACGTTAAATACATTTAAAGGCATTTTTATAGACATATATAATATCAATGTCAGTATTATACAAACCTTTAACATAAAGACCTTAATGCAAGTTAACCCTAGCATAACTACATGTATTTCATTTAACAGAGTCGGTGGTCTCAAATGTAGAGGAAAACACCAAAAAAATACACCAAAACACCAAAGAAATACAGAAACTGAAACGTAAGTCATAAGTTGCAGACTGAATACAGAATACAGGAGTTTTTTTAACATTAAATTGCCTTTATCAATCTTTTTATCTTTAAGGCCACACCAATTTAATTTCTTATTCGTCGGACATTTGATTTTAAAAAGTACAAGCGGACAGGCGGTTAAATGATAATATTATTACTTTTTTCTGAGCAATTTTTTAGGCGGAGCATGAAAAAATGTGAGCAGGCAATTATATTTTTTTCTGATATACAGAGTAAGCAGGTTAAAAATACGATAAATAGAGCGGAAATAAACAGAAAAAGAGCACAGAATTCCTGTGGTGCTAGAAATTTAAATTAACATTATTTGTATAGTTTTTTTTCAATACAAGCGCGGGTCCGACGAACACATTTTTTTTATTATTGTGGCCTAATATTTATTATGTTTGCTCCACGTACTTCGTGTGATTTTGAGTTTATATAAAGTACGTATAAACAATGATTTTCTGCTATGTTTACAATTAACAGATAAAATAGAAAACAAGAGGATTGAGAAATTTGGTAAGTTTAGCTTTGATAATACTGCTTTTATCATTTTTGTGAAAATAATAATCAATTAATTAATAATTAATTGTTATCTTTGATAAATTACCCGTTATTGTATGCAAAAAGAGGTATATATATAAGTACATGTAACATAAATAAATATTGCATAAGAATAATGTAGGAAAATTTAAGAACTATATAATTTATTCAGAATTCTTACATTTCTTTTTGTTTTAAAAAGACGAACACTTTCTATAATGTAGTCAAATAATAGGATTGTCCTAAAAAGTTGTAGACAGGTAAAAGAGTTTGTTTCTCTTTGATTTATTAAATTTCTTTCCTTGCTTGATAGCAAGAGTAGCATTTTATGATCAAGCACTTCAAGTTTCATGATGTCGATATCAAATCATATAAGAAAAATATGAAAAAATAAAAAAAGAATATAAGTGTACACCGGCACACGAAAGCAATCGTAAATTGTTTTTTTTTTTTAAAAAAAAAAAAGCCCCGTTTTCCCCCAAACTCCTTTACATTTTACAAAGTAGCCAATATTTTTTGGGAAGGGTTGGTGATGATGGGGGTAATTCAATTTTTTTTTCCCAAAGGGGCAAATTGGGGTTGAAAAATGACGTTTTTTTATGAATAAAGCCCCGTCTTCTATGAACTTATTATCTTTAGTGAGATGATTGGTGGTGTATGTAGATGTGCAGTAAGGTTTTGGAATTTTATTTGCCCCGGGAGTAAAAAAATGATTTTTTTTATGCAAAAAAGACCCGTTTTCCCTGAAATCCTTCTATATTTTACACAGTAGTCATCATCTTTTGGGTGGTGTCATGTTGATGTTCAGTAAGGTTTCGGAATTTTAAGCCCCTTGGGGGGGAAAAATTTGGGGGGGAAAATTATGTTTTTTTTTGCAAAAAGCCCTGTCTTCCCTAACTCCTCCTTAGAAGAGTTAAATATTTTGAAAATTAGGTAAAACATAACGTCAAGGGGTAAAAAAAGCATTGCATGCTGGGGAAAAATCTTGAATTGTATGAGTAATTAATGTACACGTACATGTCAAATGAAGAGTCAGTCATATTTTTCTCAATCAAAAGTTATAAGCAAATTATGCATCATTTTTTAAAAGTAGGTAAGGCTTCAAAGTCAAGGTCACAGAGTCAAAATGATTGATTTGGAAAAGGGTTTAAACACAGGTAATAATATACATGCATGTATAATTAAAGCCCCAACTTTTCTCTTTCAAATTATGAATTTAAAACATTTTTTTTTTTAAAATAGGGAAACTTCAGGTCACATGTAAAACAAATCATGCCATTCTCACAGGTAAAAATTAAAACATAAATTTAATATGAATGCCTTGTCTCTTCTCATTCAATAAATATGACTGTGATACCAAGGTTTAAAATTTTTTGAGACGATACAGGAAAATACAAATTAATATTTCTATGTGAATTGGGGGGAATTGGAGTGGTTTAAAATTTAAAAATTAAAAAATTTTCAAAAAAATGGAGAAAAGTTATATGATAAAGAAACCAGAAAAGCTCAAATGAGTGTTTTTAAAGGGTAATTACAATGGTTACAGTATT